GCGTGGTCATGCAGTAGTTCTATTTAGTTTTTTGAGGAACCGCCACACTGCTTTCCACAATGGCTGTTCCATTTTGCATTCCCACCAGCAATGAGTAGGTGTTCCAATTTCCCCACATCCTCACTGATATTTGCTATTATTATTATTACTTTTATCTTAGCCATCCTCCAAAAAAACCCATTGTTGTCAAGTCAATTACAACCCATAAATACCCTATAGGACAGAGTAGAACTACCTCATAGGGTTTCCAAGGAGCAGCTGACAGATTCGAACTGCCGACCTTTGGGTTAGCGGCTGAGCTCTTAACAACTGCACCATCAGGGCTCCTTAACCATCCTAGTAGAAGAGAAATGATATCTCATTGTGGTTTTGATTTTCATCTCTCTGATGGCTAATGACGCTGGGAATCTTTTCATGTGTTTGGTTTCCATTTGAATGTTCTTTTTGGTGAAATGTCTATTCAAGTCCTTTGCCCAATTTATAATTGTATAACCTCACTTATATAAAGACAAGAAAAGGCAAATGTATAGAGAACAAATTTATTAGTGATTACCAGGGATGGGAGGGATGGGGAAAGGAGGCGTTAATAGTGTTGGAAATATTGCATTGATTAAGGATAGAGTTGCACAGCCGATTATTGTAATTACTGTCAATAAGTTGTATGTCTGTAAAAATTTGAATCGGCAAAAGGTGTGATATAGATATATGTCTTATATATCTAGCGCTTCTATAACAGAAATACCACAAGTGGATGGCTTTAACAAACAGAAGTTTATTCTCTCATCGTTTAGGAGGCTAGAAGTCTGAATTCAGGGCAACAGCTCTAAGAGAAGACTTTCTCTCTCTGTTGGCTCTGGGGGAAGGTCCTTGTTATCAGTCTTCCACTGGTCTAGGAGCTTCTCTGCACAGAGACCCCGAGTTCAAAGGATGCATTCCACTCCTGGCTCTTCTTGCTTGGTGGTAATGAGGTCCCTCCCCTCTCTGCTCGCTTCTCTCTTTTATATCCCAAAAAAGACTGGCACAAAATACAACCTAATCCTGTAGATTGTATCCTGCCTCATTAACATATCTGTCTCTAACCCTGCCTCATTAACATCATAGAGGTTAGGATTTACAACACATAGGGAAATTACAGCAGATCACAAAATGGAGGACAACTGCAGAATATTGGGAATTATGGCCTAGCCAACTTGACACATATTTTTGGGGGACAAAATTCAATCCATAACAGCTACTAAAAAAATAAAAACATAATAGCAGCGGAGGATGCTTATGCACAGCCAAAAACCTCATGGAATTTTGTTCCTTGGTTTGGTGGTTTAGGGTTATGGTTTCATGGGACATCCCAGTTAATTGGCCTAATAACATGTGTAGTGCTTCTGTTCTACCTCTTTCGTTTGGCGGTTTAGGGTTATGGTTTCATGGGACATCCCAGTTAATCGGCCTAATAACATGTGTAGTGCTTCTGTTCTATCTCCTCATTCATTGTGTAGTGCCTAGGGACTTAAAAGCTTACAAGTGGTCACCCAAGGCACAATAGTCGTTCTCTATTTGCCTGGAGCAACAGAAGAAGGAGAGTCAGGAATACGAGGAGGATATAGAATGTGTGGCTAATTGCCTCCATGAACAACTTCTTCTTTTGTCATGAGACCAGAAGAACTGGATGGTGCCTGGCTACCGTTACTAAACATTTTGATCAAACATTCTATAGAAGAATCCTAATCAAAAGGGAAAATAGAGAGCAGGATTTCAACTTATCTTGTCCTCTAGACTTCCTGGAGCCATGAAGGTTGGGTGAACCCCTGAAAATATATCCCTGAGCTAATCTTTAAACCGTAAACCAAAAATATCCCCTGAAGTCTTCTTGAAACGAAATGGTAGTTTAGCTTAATTAGTAAAAAATGTCTGCCTTGAGCATTATGCACTTTTAAGAACTACGTATATGGGATCAAATTGATAATAGCAACTCAAAAGACTAGATGGGAACCTTAGGGGGCAGTGAATTTATGTTAAAGGGGAATAATAACTCAGAAAACAGTGAGAATGATTACACAGCTCAAAAAAATGTAATCAGTGTAACTAAATGGTACATGTAGATGCTGTTGAATTGGTTTATGTTTTGCTATGTATATTCTCAACAACAAATTTTAAAAATTTAAAAAGTACATATATTTCTTTATCACACATTTGCATTTTTTATTGTTGTGAAAAAGATATATAACACAACATTTTACAATTCAACATTTTTTACAGGTACAATTCAGTGAAATCAATCACGTTAGTCAACACATTTGCTTTTTAAAATATGTTAATAACATAATATGGTTGGCTTCTCTTGTGATTCTATGTATTTTATTCTACATATTAACAAATATTATTCTGGTAAAAAAAGAAATATCTATGTATTTTATAAAGACTCTCAAGAAATAAACCAACACATGCTAGAATTGAGACGTTTTAGTCTCTCTGTACATTTATTCTTAAAATTTTTATTTTGTTCAATGTATTTTTTTCTGGATACTCTTCGAATGAATTTAAATGAGTTTTTCACTTGGTTCTAAGATTATTTGAAAGAATGTAGATCCTTTTCTATTTCACTTAGTGGGACCTTAGTGGGACCTTATTGGGACCTGTAGTGATACTTCTGGGGCCAATCTGAACACTGACCTCCAAAGTTACCATAAACTTCTACAGACAAATATGTCTCCAGAGAAGAAATTGCTCAAGCAGCAGGCAGTGAGATGTTCATAAGTTTTTCACAAATTAAAAATATTAAATTTAAGGGGCCATCCATTATTTTGAACATGCTTTCCCTATTCTTCTGTGATAAAAATTTCTATTTTTGAGGTTTTTTTTGGTAATAAATACTAGTTTTTGTTTGTTTAACAGTTGGCAACTATAACTCAAGCTCTCCTCACTTTATTCTAATTTTAATCTGGTATTTTAACCCAATAATTAATAATTCTGGTACATGAAATCAAGATGTATTGGAACTACTATGTTGGCAAAGATCATGAGACATATAGTCAGCACAATGAGCATGGATCCTTGTCCCAATGAGCCAATGAGTATGAAACCTAAAGCAAGTCATTTTACATCTCTGGCTAGTATTTTTTCCATTGTGTTGAATATGGGCTTTACACTAGAGCATTCTAGGTCTCTATGGTTCAAAACTGTAGCCACCCAAACCTGATAGAATTATCAGTCATTATAAAATATTTCCACTTCCTGAAATCATGTCTTTCCTATAATTTCCTTATAAAGAACTTTTCTGCCTTTGATCATATGCTGAAAGACAACTTCTATGAGAACACTTCGCTCTCAAAGTAATGATACATCGGTCAACCTCTTGATCACAGTGTGGTGGTTGTTACTGGTTTATAAGTGGTGATAAAAGTGATGAGGTACTTTTCTACAATGTGCTGTTTTCAGAACCTTTATAAGAGAGAACGGGGCAGGGGAGAAAGAGAGAGAAATATGTGGTCTCTTCTTCTCAAGTATATTCCTTTCCTTCTCTTCATCTACTGAATCTTTCAGAGTGCTTCATATAATTAAATAGAAGTTCTGTTCCAACGAAGAGTTGGATGCATGGAGACCAGGAGATAAATGATTAGCTTAAGAAATGCACTTTAGGGCATTTGAAAATGGAAAGCTCTATACAAATCAAATGTGTCGATTACTTGCTCACAAGTTAAACAAAACACAATTCACAAAATCAAAAAACAGCTCTAGGTAACATTTAAAAATTAGGAAGGTGAATTTAAGTTTATTATTATTTTATGGGCTATTGATGCATGAAAAATTAGTTGACGTTCAGAACACATTTTTTTCTAGGAAATTAGTTAAGAATTTAGGTGTTTAGAATAACTCTTGGTAAAATCAGCTTACAAGCGAAGGTCATTTACAACAATCAGTTTTTGGAAAATAATACGGCAGAAAAAAATCTACAGGTCATTATTAAATAATAAGCTCATTTTTACTCTCTAGAAATTGATATTTTTACCCAAATTAAGCAAAAACTTATTGCTTATTGTTAATTTTGCTATAATATAAATTTACCAAATTTACGTGATAAACATCTGCATTATACTTTTACTCTGATAAAAAGCAACTTTGATAAAAAGAAAACAGGAATACATACACGTATTTGAGTTGTGATGTATAGCATGATTCAGTAGGATAATAGGAACAGAAGAAGAAGGGTCCTTAAGAAATGTGGGACGTAAGTGACTTCAAATCATTTCAACAGTGAGTCTATAGGAGTTAGTGTCACACATGCCATAGTTATTTCACATCTTATTTTAGTTAAAAAAAGTGCACCTTGAGCGAGACCTTTGTTCCACGTACGTGTGCAGTGTGCATATACTTTTCTAAGTGGGGTAGTTTTGTTCTCATGCCATGGGAGCAGGTGGCATGAAGCTGTTTTGATGAGGTTAAAAGGCTCCTCCCCTCTTTCCCCAAGCAGCAGCCTGAAGTACGTCAGCAGTAATTGTGTGCATGGTTCGGCTGTACAGGGAGGGTGGAGGCAAAACTGATATCAAATCAAGGTATCAAACTGAGGTCTGGATGTTCCATTTAAGTTGCTGCTCATTTTCATTAGTCATGCCAGGGACGAAAGGCTTATAACTTAAATATCGTCTGTAATAAAAACAGATTTTTGGTAGATGTATATATATATATTTTTATTTTATTTTATTTTTTCTCCATAAAGACTGAATTAGTGGTGTAGTGGTTGTAAATGAAGGGGTTTCTTTACTCTCTTTTCATTTTATTATTTACTAATCAGACTTCGGCACAGTTAGCTGAAAGAGAAGGGATCTGTTGCCTAGATGAGAGGTCTTTAATGAGGATGGGAGCCCCCGGGGAGCAGAAATCTGAAGTAGAACGATGCTGCTTTCGGGTCTCTTGTCATTTCTTCTGTTGCTTCCTCTCCCTTTTCCAATGGGCCTAGTGAGCAGGAACTATCCAAGGTGCTAGAATGCTGGTAGCTCTGCCGTTCAATGCAGATAGATTGCAGAAACAGAGAAGAAAGATTACTGCTTATTTCAGAAGGTAGGTTCTTTGTTTCAGAATCCCTGATTAATCAGCAGCAGCAGCAACAGACTGAGGCAGCTGGAGAGGAGAGAGAGAAGCAGGAAGGGAGGGAGACAGGGGCAGGGAGGGAGGGAGGGAGGAGAAAGAGAGAGAGAATGAGAGAGAGAGGGCTGGTTGTCACGGGGGAGGGACGATGCCACAAGCTAGGCTGCTCCAAACCTTCTATATGTAAGTGGCAATGAGAAACAGCATCTTTTTGACTGAAAGGAGACATTTAGAAAGGATGTTTCTGATTTTTTGTTTTCATTTATTTTTGTCTTCACGGAATATAATCAAATGAGGCACCTTAGCCAGCCTGGGTGATTGCTTCTGGTCTTGTAATCATCTGTGTAACAAAGTGGGTAAAATCATTCCATTTCTTCCCTGCTGGACCTGGAAGGAGAGAGGCTGTCTGTTCATCCCCACCCATTAACTATGCCCTTTTTCCTCCGAATGTCGATTTAAGGAAGCGAGCACCTGTCTTCTGCCACTGCATCTTCCTAGCAAACTTTAAAGGCCATTTTATCTGATAGGAGGAACATCAATAATGTTCTGATCTCTGGTGATGAAGATCCTGGGAGTGGACACTTCTCCCGTCCAGATACAATGCACTTTAATTGAAGAAAAACTGAGCTGAACTACAAGTCTATTTCTTATGGTGCTGGATTACTCCTGCAGAACTGCCCTGGGATCAACTGTGAGACAGGGCTCTGGCAAATACAAGTCACCTTCTGATCATTGCACTTAGCACTCCTTGGGGACTTAAATTTTGGTATGTATCTCATTTTTCAGATTCTCTAAGCATGCTCATTGATTCCAGCACTAAGTAGATTAAGCAATCTGTTTACGAAATGGAATGGATTTTAGCTAGGGATACTTAATGCTGAAGTTTGCATGTCTTATTAGATGAAGCAGAAATAAAGCCACAGCGAAGGCATCCAGGGCTTTAATGAGTCTCTGGCTATTTTGTACCTTCTCACACACTTAGTTTCACTACCATAGATAGGGTTAATCTGGGTTTTCATTAATAAAATAAATGCTGAAGTATTAAAGGCATTTAAAATATTTTCCAGGGTATTAATTGCATTCATATTGTACCTGCTAGCTATTTATCTGCTATTCCATACCATAAATATTTTACAACAGTCTCTTAGCACGTTTGTATCAGCAGGGAGAGCCCAATTTCACCTTCTCAGGAAAAAAAAAAGCTACCTGCCACACACCAAAGTTGAGACTGCCTCTTTCTAATTAGACAGAAACCTCTTTAAGAAATATATCATTTAATATCACCTAGTATCAGGAAGATATCATTAGTCTCTTCACATGAATATTTTCTAAAGAACTTCACATGGACTTATTTTACTTGGGACACCTACTTATTTCCTCAGAGTGTCTTCATTCTAATTTTTATAACTACCAGCAGTATTTTAAATACAAGAAATTTAGCTATGCTATATCTGGATGAACTATTACCTGAAATAATATTGTTCATTCTCATTAGGAAATACTAAAGTTATGTTGGCACCATAGAACTGTATTTTTTTCCCCTAATTATAGCTAAAATAGAAGGGAATCAGATGGAAGAGTTTACACAGTGGAGTTTTGGTCATTTTAATATGCAAACATTTATAACCAAGTAGTGTCGAATAATGAATATAGAGTAATAGTGTAAATGAACTCCCCTCCTAATTCTTTGCATTTCAGATAATGCTGCAGTTTATTTTCTGTAATGTCAAGTGCTAATTACAAAAATTAATATGAGAAACTGTGAACCATAAATGCCCAAATTTTGTTTTTCTGAGACAAGTGCAACACATGCTTGCCAACTCAGCAAAGAAGGGGACTCTGTGAAGGGCATTGACTTTAGAAAATGAGTGAAAACAGACCTAAGAAAAATATCACAACTTCGACTGTACAGAAGCCCATGAACTTGAGGAATCTGTAAAGTTTAGAGGGAGAAGAAATGTAAAAATCCTAAAGACAAGAAGGTTGACTGTTGTTTAAAAAAAAAAAAAAAAAAAAATCACAGACTCCCAATCCAATTAGATGGTTTCTATCATAGCTCCAGTCAGCAATTTATTAAACTGACTATATCTATTTTGCAAATACTGTCTTGCAAGCATCTGCAACCATTTGGCCCAAGGCTCAGAAAAGTACCCCATGAGTCCTAATATTAGCAGAAATAGGCAGTCTCTTTAGAGAATGGACGGATAGCACCCGGACAACCTGGAGGTTGGGGGAGATATCTGATTTACGATGCTACTACATTAACATGGTTTGTGCCCATCTTACCCATTTTGGAAAGGGAGATAGTGAAGAAAAACTCACTGCAAAGTGATCTGCTTTCAGAAAAAAAAAAAGCAATCAGTGTCTTTGTAGTCACTTCAACAAGCTTTCTTGGTTTAACTTCAACAGTTCCCATTTGGAGCAAAACAGCTGCATTTTGATGACATTGGGAATGAGAAAATGAGTGTGACCATTTGCGGTAGTGGGGGTAGAGTTTCAAGCATAATCAAAGTGAAACTACAGGACTCGTTTTCGACAGATTAGAAGATTTTATCAGAAAAACCATTTTTACATGGTTTACATGGATTGTGTGTTGTAACCCAATGATCTATTCTGTTGCTTTGGTCCTACACAAAGTCAGCAAATTTTAGATGTTAATTTGCATATGTATTTTACATATGTATATGAGATCTGATTATTTAAATGCTTATATTTTCGTATACCATGTGTTTTCAAATAAGTCCATGTACACGCACAAAATGTAAAAGATCTTTTTCTCTTGATGGACAGAAGAAAAAAAAAAGTCAAATTGACTTGGGAAACTTTTATTTGGTTGGATCCATACTACTGGGCAAAATAGGATTCTCTATCTCAGAAAAGATGAAATGTTTGGAAATATGGCAGGGAAAATCAAACTTTAGTAACTCAAATTCTAATAACTTCCTAACAACATTGAGTCGGTTGTTTGCAAACCTAAGAAATAAATAAAAGGTGAGGAATTGAAAAAGCTACCAATGCACAAATAAATCGAAAAACATCCATGTGCAGTGAATGCAAAATGTCTAGGCTTTATGAGGGAATTTATTTCCTCGTGTGCGTTGTGTTGTTCCTGCTTAAGACAAATAGCATTATAATTATAGCACAACATTAACTTTACCTTCTTCTACTGATAACATCTTGCAGAGTGAACTGCGACCTAAAATTTAAAGAGCTTCTTATAGAATGTCAAGAATTGAAGAGCAACCCTTCCCCAACTAGTAATTTTCCTACCTTTACCTCTCAGTGAATGTGGCAAATATCCATATTAATGGGAGCTACACAACTGTAGATCTTGGAAAATCAAAGCTTCAGGTAGAGATCAGCTCCATTTCAGAAATTCTAGGTAACCGCTCTGAGAAAAAAGAACCAGTGCCTATGAGAGAGGCAGTGGGCTAATTTCCTTCGATGATACTAGTATCTATATAACTCTGCATTTGGCGAATGGTGGTAAATGGTCCATCAGAAACATCTTTCTGACAACTCAGTTCACACACCTGCTTGAGCCGATTCTGACAGAGTCAGAGTGGTTGATACCACAATGCATGACATTACACTAAAGGAAGAATTTCTTCTGATTTTTAAGAAAAAGAAGTTCCTAAACATGTATGAAAAGTAAACTGGCATGGCTAATATTTAGCTGATCCTTTTTGTACATCTCTTCTTTAACAGCCTGTGATTAATCATAGCCCTCTATATCATGGATGAACCCAATCTTGACACCCCTTGGTGCCAAATTAAATACTCTCTGGTAAATTCGAGACTACACAAAATTGACACCTTAATTTACAAAGAGAATAACCCACATAAATGGAGGATTGTAGTTAACTATTTTTTTTGCATACATTTAATAAAAAATGCTCTCATTTTTTTGCGGGGTAGGGTTTAATACTAAAAGTTATGTGGTGTCTCTTCTTGGGTTCCTTGGACGAAAATAGCAGCTATAGAAAGGTAGAAAAAAGAAAGTGAATTTTTTATGTTTCCATGGATTCTATTTAGACCTACTTGTGTATATTTTATGCTCTGCAAGTATATGTAATGGATAGTTTTATTTCATTGGAAACAAATGTAAAGAAATATAATGCTACATGAAGCCCCAAGTTCAGCATTAGTGAGATGCGTTGATGTTTTTAAACAAAAGAAAATAAGAACATGGTTAATTCAATAAATAGCTAAATGTTGAGTGTTTAAAATATGGTGTGAATCCCAGTACTTTGAACTGATGCATCTTATCTGAGTAGAGAAAAATTTCAGATTCTGGGAAATGTCACAATATTATACAAAATTACCTTTGTGAAGGGGTGTGGCCAGCAGGAAGTAAGTAAGGAAAGTGAAAAGGTGAAATACAGTAAAACTGAGTAATTAACTATCCAATCGGATTTAGGCCAATATCTGTAACTCTTATTAGAATTGTGGTGATATTAAATACAGCAGACCGAAAATTAGACCGAAGAAGTTTCATGAATGCAGGATAGAGCTGGGGAGGAGAGGCGTAAAGTGAGGACATGCAGCTATTCACGTATTGTAGGGGATTTCCATCTTGGTGATTTTACATGCTTTCCCAGAAAAGTCCCTAACACATAATAGTCAACATTAAGAGCTATTTGCAGGTAAGCATCCCTACTGATGTTTAGAAAGACACTTGTTTAAAAAGTCTAGGGCCAATGATAAAAAGTCCAATGGGAGCAGAAGAGAAGCAGGTAATGCAGATAAGTGAGGCAAGCTGCCTCTGAGTCACACTGAGAGAGCTGTAGGGACTGGGAAGTCCTGGAGAACAGAGGCCTGGACAGAAGCAGACCTCAGCCTGCTCCAGAGACAGAGACAGAGGCTGCCAAGAGACAGCGAGACCTAGTGTTATCTGGTTTACTAATGTTTTCAAGAGAATCCAGAGACCCACATTTTTGTGTGAAATCTCCAAATTTTAAGTGTTGGCTAAAAATTCCAAGGGGGAAAAATATTAAACAAAACCTGTATTATTTAGATCAACAGCATGCAGTTCAAAGAAAACAGCCCTGCCTGGAGAAAGAAGACCACAGATAGCAGTTTTCAACCAATGCTCTGTTGCCATCAAGTCGATTCCGACTCGTAGTGACCCTGTGCGCTATGAAGGGCTAAAAGGCTTTACTTATTTTGAGCAAAACTGGCTGCAGACGTATGACAGCAAGAATAAAACCTGCCCATAGAAAAGCAAACGTTCCCCTTCAGTCTTGTCCACTCTGGTGCCACAAATATTATGTGCACCGATTTAAGGGTTGCTACTCATAGGAGCCCTGATGGCACAGTGGTTAATGAGTCAGAATCAACTCAATGGCAATGGGTTTGTTTTTTTTAAGGGTCGTTAAAGAATTCCTGGTGGCGCAATGGTTAAAAGCTTGGATGCTAACTGAAAGGTTGGCAGTTCAAACCCCCCAGCCTCTCGGTCGGCAGAGCAGCCTCTCTCCTCCAGGTGATATCTCCAGCTAAATCAGGGTAAATAAGAAAGGCTATCTTGTTCTGGCGCAGTGGTTAAGCGTTTGGCTGCTAATCAAAAGGTGAGCAGTTTGAATCCACCAGCTACTCCTTGGAAACCCTTTGAGGAAGCTCTACTCTCTCCTATAGGGTTGCTACGAGTTAGAATCAACTTGCTGTCAGATCTAACTCATAGACACCCTATAGGACAGAGCAGAACTGCCCGATAGTGTTTCCAAAGCTGTCGTCTTTAGGGAAGCAGCCTGCCACATCTTTCTACTACTGTGCCGTCAGGGCTCCTTATAGTGATATTAGTAACCAATAATTGTGCTCACATTTATCGAACACTTTTTCATTTACATGTATTTTCTAACTGAATCCTCACAGCAACGTATAGAGATAAGTTCTATTCTGATCCCCATTTTAAAAATGTGGAAACTGAATCTTAAAGAAGTTAATTAATTTGCCCGGAGTCATAGGCCTTGGGGTGCCTATTGAGATTTTTAGGCCATACTGCTCGACTCAGTTCTCCCTTTCAGAACCGCCTTATTACCACTCCTACATTACAAACTACCTTGTACGTGTGGATAAATAGGCAGACAAGTGTCATGCTTAAACACTGATATGCTCTAAGTCCATTTTTAGCAGTTGGAGCCCTGGTGGCGCAGTGGCTAAGAGCTATGGCCCACTACGCTGCTAACCAAAAGGTTGGCAGTTCAAATCCACCAGCTGCTCCTTGGAAACCCTATGAGGCAGTTCTACTCTGTCCTATAGGCTTGCTATGAGTTGGAATTGACTCAACGGCAACCGGTGTGTTGTGGAGGGGTGGCATAAATGGTTAAATGCTCATCTACTAACTAGGAGCTCTGGTTGCACAGTGGTTAAGCACTGGGCTGCTAATGGAAAATTGGCGGTTCGAGCCCACCAGCTGCTCTGCAAGAGAAAGATGTGGCAGTCTGCTTCCATAAGGATGAAATCCAAAAACTAAACCCATTGCCACTGAGTTGATTCTGACTCATAGTAACCCTACAGGACAGAGTAGAACCTCCCCATAGGATTTCCAAGGCTACAAATATTTACAGAAACTGACGGACACGTCTTTCTCCCTGAAGTGGCTTATGAGTTTGAAACGTCAACCTTTTGATTAGTAGCCAAGTGCTTAACCATTGTGCCACCAGGGCTCCTCTGTAATAATTACAGCCTTAGAACCCTATGGTGTTGCTGTGAGTTGGAATCAACTCCACAGCAATGGGTTTAGTATTTTCTTCCTTTCTTTTTGAATTACAAACAGAAAGGTTGGTGGTTTGAACCCACCCAGAGGCACCTTGGAAGAAAGGCCTGGTGATCAGTTTCCAAAAAGTCACAGCCTTGAAAACCCTATGAAGCACAGTTCTACTCTGCACACATGGGGTTGCCATGAGTCAAATCAACTTGACAACAAGGAGTTTTTTTAAATTCGTTTTTGAAATCTATGTGTGATTGTTGAACAGTATTCCTTATCCACCCTCAACAACAGTGGCAATAAACCATGACAAACTAGTGAATGGGCCACTGCCGCCTGAATCAGTGCCCCCATCACACTGTACTGCAATTGTTTATTTATTGGATTCCTATACTGCACTGTGAAAATCTAGAGGGAGCACAGTTTCCTTTGACTATTCTGCCTTTGGAACACTGGTGGAACGGAGGTTAAGCACTTGGCTGCTAACCAAAAGGCTGGCAGTTCGAATCCACCAGCCGCTCCTTGGAAACTCTATGAGGACAATTCTACTCTCTCCTACAGGGTCACTATGAGCTGGAATTGACTCAACTGCAATGGGTTATTCTGCCTTCATTAGTGCTTGGTTCATAATAGGTGTCCAATAAACTCTCGAATAAATGAGGAATCACAAAATTAAATCCTTCTCTAGAAGAAGATGGCTTGAGCTTGTGTACAGCTTTCATCCAATTTTCATTACTCTGAAGCTTTACTAGATGTCACGGTTGATATTCATCTCAAAAATTCACACTTCAATTTTTTAAAACCTTATTGGACAAAGTTCCATAGTATGAATACCTTATAATATTATTATTTTGATATTTTCTCAAAACAAAAATAATTTAAACTGCAGCCAACTTGAAAGACCGCATAGGAAGATAATGAAATTCCAGAGGTGAACCATTAACCTTGCATTTAGAATGTTAAATTGTATAGAGAATTGCTGGTGTCACTTGGATTGGAGGAAAATTTAGGAGGGGAGTAGGAACCTTTGGATAATGCCTTACACAATTGGGAAATGTACATTTTTGCTCCAGGGCAGAGTGGGAGTGAGCATCTTCCATCCTGAGGCATTACCTCCAGAATCCATGTAATACTGACTTGGCTTGCTTAACTGCAGTGGAATTAATTGCCATAAAGTTATGCAGATCTTTTTTTTACCTGAGCACACCCAGTGCTGGAATCCTTGGTAGAAGTGAATTCCCGATAATGGTAATGCTTTAGTTCCCTGAGATTCATGCTCTTGTATGTGTTTTTTTTTTTTTTTCTCTGTAAGTTTGAATCATTTGTAGCTAGCATTAATCTCCTATTCCTAAGTATGCCCACCACTTAAGCATCTAATCTGATGGGCTGATATTAAAATACAGTTTATTACATTAGATAGTTGGAATTAAAAGTCCATTTCATTTGCCAATGCGTTAAGGCTTAAAACCGAACAAAACATAACATAACAAAAAAATTATGAGTCAACAAACAACTCTTTTACCCTCTAGTTTCAACAACTTCTTACAGAATGAGGAATAAATTCTAAATTCAGAGTGGGCTTCAAACAATGTATGGATTGACTGGCAGCTGAAATGCTAATAAATTCTGATAAGAATGAAAGTTTCCACAGCTATGATTTGGGTTGCAGAAAATGCTTATACTTGTAAAAATATCAGAATAGAAATAATCTGTAATTGCAGAAAATGAAAGGCTGGGACTTCTACATTAAACAGTCAAACCGATAGTTTCAAAAAACTTTTGTGAAGAAACAGATGTAGGGATAGCTTATAACTTTTAAGTGGCCAACGTTTTCCCCTTGCTAATTGACTTTGATTTTTTCTATCTGACTCAGATATGCCACTATTCTATATCACAGTGCATATTCAACTGAGGAGACTAAGCTTACTTATCTTGAATGTAGTTATTTATACTTTGGTTCTTTCTTTTTTTAATTTGATTAAAGCATAATTCTATAACCTCTGGCTTGACTGATTTTGAGATCTGTGCTTCAAAGCATGCTAAGTTTCATAGACTACTTGGTTATATAGCCATTCATCCATTCACATATACCCATTTAATACTACTGCTTCTGCCAATTCCTCTCGCACTTTTATTATGATAATACTAGCTGGGATTGATTGTATGCTTCGGAAACCCTGGTGGTGTGGTGGTTAAGAGTTCGGCTGCTAACCAAAAGGTCAGCAGTTCGAATCCACCAGGTGGTCCTTGGAAACCCTATGGGGCAGTTCTACTCTGTCCTATACGGTCACTAGGAGTCGGAATCCACTCGACAGCAACGAGTTTGGTTTGGTTTTTGGTTTTAGAATTGCCAAACTCTATGCTAAATTCTTTACAGTCATCACCTCTGTTAATGTCACAACAGCGTGAGCGGGGGCTATTATTGACATCATTTTACAAATAAGAGTAATGTGTATTGGTTGAAAGTCTTACTTTTTTTGTTTTGTGTTGATTTGGTTTTGTTTGCTCAGGAATCCTTTCTATGGCTCTGATTTTAAAACTTTCCAGCAGCTATAATATAACAGTCGTCAGTGCTTGAAATACCAGACTGGTCAGGATTAACGTGGTCCTGGTGAGCTATGATTCTTGAGTTAGCCATTACAGACCACCGTTTCCGGAAAGTAATGGAGGGCCATAAAGGGATCCTTTTCTAGACAAATTATCTTGTTCATTTCTTTTTTCTTGATTACTGTTATATTGTGCATGAATAATGCAGATTCATAAATTTTCATTTAAAATTTAAAAACACAGTAAGAGCACCCTTTCCAGTTAATTATATCATTGTATTTGAAATTGAACATAAAGGTCTTTATGGGCCTTAGAAATAAATGAAGCTTGGCTCTGATATCACTTATTGGTATAAGGACAAATTTTTGAGACACAGAATCAGGAGTCTAATTACTTAAAACAAATCTTTTTCCTCCAGCACAGTAATTGCAGGTCATGTTATCTTTCAGTGCAAGAATTTTTGCCTTTGCCCTGCTAATGTTGCTACTTTGAGAGAGTGTTTGCTACTTAGGCAGGACTCATTTAATATTTACTTAAACTACTCTGTCTGTAATTTCTAGTAAGACGTTGCCTCTGAATAGATTTCACCATAAGTATTGGAGATTATCCCCACTCTCGATGAATTTATAACGTGTTCTCATCCTGCAGGAAGTGCTCCTTTTTACGTGATCTCCTCAAAGATGATGAGTTCTAATCCCGAGGAGGACCCTTTGGACGCATTTCTCCAGTACATTGAGGATATGGGGATGAAGGCCTATGATGGCTTGGTTATTCAGAATGCATCCGACATCGCTCGAGAAAATGATCGCTTGAGAAATGAAACAAACCTGGCCTACTTGAAGGAGAAGAATGAGAAACGCCGAAGACAAGAAGAAGCAATAAAACGGTAAGGATGAATAAAAGTTTTTCAAGTTTTGCACGCGTGAGGAACTCAGTGAGTGCTGCAGAGGCTGTGACATTGTCTCCTGGTCTAGAAAGAGCTTGTCAAAGTTGGTTCGACTTGATGAGACAATGTAAAGTGGTAGCTCAACTGTAACAAAAACACAATCCATGCTCCTGACAGGTCTTCGCCTGAGTTAACAAAAGTTACTTCCTTGTGTGTTGTGCATAGGAAGGTGCAGGTGGGATGGGGAAATTCAGTACCCTCCAAATAAAAGGTCTAACTGAACAATGTAGGAGACCTGGTGGTGCTGTAGTTAAGTGTTCAGCTGCTGACCAAAAAAGTTGGCAGGTCGAATCCACCAGCTGCTCCCTGGAAACCCTGTAGGGCAGTTCTACTCTGTCCTATAGGGTCGCTATGAGTCAGAATCAACTCGACGGCAACGGGTTTGATTTGAACAATCTCTCGATAAATCACAAGGGAACACAAACATCCACACACACACTTCCTTTGAAAGCTAAAGTTTGATGGAAATCCAACTTTAATGGTCTTCATTTAGAGCTATTACCTTATAATAGAGTTTATCTTCTTCCTAGATTATGACCAATAGTAAGAATTATGTGAGCCTCTAAAGGTGGGCAGAACCTTCAGTGTGTGCTCTCTGCACAGAATTTTATGACTATTGCGTTGACTTCTGGTACCAAGTGTTCCAGGTTTGTTCGAATGAAATGACTTTTTGTTGTTGTTGCAACACCTATGAGCTACAAGGAAATAAGTCCCAGAATTGCAGTCTTCCAAACTGAGGTTAAGTTTCCTAGGGCACTGAGAGGCGAGAAAAATGATGAACATCTTTTGATTTTTTTTAAAGAACATTACAGTGTTTTCAGTGAGTGTATGTGTGTGTGTGTGTTTTCCAGTGATAGAAGTGGATATGATATCCATGTTTTGTTTGATAGAGTTCTTTTCTTCAGTGGAGTCCATTTGCTAAGTGCAAGTATTGAGAATTTAGGAAAGTAATTCATAACAATTAGCTGAATAACTGAGCACAAATTTAAAAAAAAAAAAACACTGCCATCAAGTTGCTTCCAACTTATAGTGACCCTATAGGACAGAGTAGAACTGCCGCATAGGGCTTCCAAGGCTGTAACCTTTGTGGAAGCCAACTACCACATCTTTCTCCCACGGAGCAGCTGATGAGTTGGAGCTGCCTGACCTTTTGGTTAGCAGCTGAGTGCTTTAACCACTGTACCACCGAGACACAAATAGTTATATTTTGATGATCAGCGAGTGGATTTGTCATCTAACTGGCATTAATACTTTCACTTTTGCCTACTCTCTGAACAACATGGTATTTTGGAAAAGAAAATATTCTTTTAAGGTGAGTTATTCACCCATATGGAAACCCTGGTGGCACAACGGTTAAGAGCTACAGCTGCTAACCAAAAGGTCAACAGTTCAAATCCACCAGACGATCCTTGTAAACTCTATAAGGCAGTTTTACTCTGACATATAGGGTTGCTATGAGTCGGGATCGACTAGATAGCAACGGGTTTGGTTTGGTTTTGGTTTTTCACCCATATAAAAAACTAGTTGAGGGCAAACTGGTGGCATAGTGGTTAAGAGCTCAGCTGCTAACCAGAAGATTGGCAGTTTGAATCCACTAGCTGCTCCTTGGAAATGCTATGAGGAACTTCTACTCTGCCCTATGGGGTCGCTATGAGTCGAAATAGACCCGATGGCAATGGGTTTGGTTTTTTGGTTGGTTACTACAATAATTTAATGGCAGGTAGCTTTATATTTAAAAAAAGATTTGTAAATTAAAAAAAAAAAAAAACTAAGTAGAATGTTGTGGAGAATTATGTTGAAAGGAATGTGGACTATTAAAATGTAAAGCTATTTCCTGTGGACTATTAAAATGTAAATTTATTCAGTTACTGGGTATCAAAATGTTTGTAAAAAATCTGCACTTGGTAAACATTTTCACAATTACATATATTTATTTTTAAAGTCAGTTTGGTGTTTGAAATTATGCTTTTTTTAATTTCTACCAAATTTTAATTGATCTCACAGATACTTTTTCTAGTTGCACTAAATATCCTTCCTTAGGACAATTTTTCGGTGAAGTACTCTTGATGGACTTCTGTGTGTATGTGAGCATTTCACTTTACTTTTATGAGTCTGTGTTTTCTGAATTTTATAATAGAAAGAATGGCTTACATGATTTCTAAAGCAACTTAAACTCTAACATAGAAAATTCTCCAATCCTGGCCTTAAAACTCTACAATTCATTTTTTCCCATAAGCAAATATATATAGAATTTACTTGTTGAATCATTGGATTATATTACACAGCACCCAAAAAAAGGCTTATCACTATACTACTAGTTTCTGTGTTTCATAAACAACCTTCAGAGGATTTCTATTTAAAGATCACAGAGATGAAGAAAACTACAATGGCTAATATTTAGGTGATTTACTGCTCAGTGTTCAAGGGGACTTAAGGAACAACTCCAAGGAAGTCTAAATCCAAGGGGTTACATCCGCAGGTATAGGGATTAGGATTTACAACATATATTTTGGGGGAACACAATTCAATCCATAACAGGCACCATCAGAATTTGCTGATGGATAAGATGTAGGATTTGAGTAAAAGAAAAAAATCAAAAATGTCTCTCAGGTTTGTTTAGTTGTTTTTTTTTTGTTACTGTTGTTATTGTTTTGTTTTTGCCTGAACAACTAGAAGAATGATGTTTACATTTACTGAAATGGCAAAGGTTAGAAGAGAATCAAGATTAGGCTAAATGGTGGGGCAATAGATGTTCATTTTTGGTATGCCAATTTTGAGAGACCTTTTAGATATCCAAGTGGAGACGCTGAGTAGGCAGTTGGATAAAGAATCTGGAACTTATGGTAGAGATCAAAGCTGGAGGTACAAATATGACAGGTAGAAGTCTATAGATTGTGTAGTCATAGGACTAGAAGACATCTAGGACCTAAATTTAGATAGATAAAATGTAAGCAACTAGGACTGAGCCCTGGGCCACCGACCTATTTCAATGATAGGAAGAGGAAAAACCAGTGAAAGAGAAGAGCCACAAAGGGAAGTAATGCCTTGGAAGGGAGGCGAAATGGCAAAAATGATTCACAAAGAGGGAGAGATTTTGCTGGCAGATCAAATATGTTGAAGCCTGAGAATTGTCCAGTGACCTTTACAACACTGGTGTTGTCGAAAAGAACAGTTTCAGTGGCGAGCTGGAGATAAAACCCAGTGGGATTATATTCATAAGAGAAGGGGGGATCAAATTTGCAGCAAAATAACTCTTTTGAAAACTTTTGGGGTTAAAATCATAAAAATGGGGAGTAGCTGGAGGAGGAATGGTCTACGGAGGTTTTTCTATTTTTTTTTTTAAGAAAGGTGATAAAATAGCGTACTTTAAATGCAGATGTGAGGGAATAAAGTAGAAAGGCAAACATTAATGACTTAGGAGAGGGAAAGAAACATTACTGTAAGAATGTCCTTGAGTAGGTGGGAAAAGGATGGGAGCTAAGGTATCTAAGGAGCACAGCCTGCTCATCCATTCCGAATGAAGGGGAATACCACAATATATGAACAAATGATAACAAAAGAATGAATGAATGAATGATTAACAAATGAATGAATTATTAACGAATTATGAATAAATGAATGACTAGGAACTGGCATGAAATTCCCCACACCTGGTTCTCTAAAGCCAATAGCATAAATGGAAATCAGGAGCCATACTAAAACCAAAAAACCAAACCCATTGCTGTCAAGTCGATTCTGACTCATAGCGACCCTATAAGACAGAGTAGAACTGCCCCATAGAGTTTCCAAAGAGCGCCTGGTGGATTCAAACTGCCAATGTTTTCGTTAGCAGCCGTAGCACTTAACCACTACGCCACCAGCGTTTCCGGAGCCATACTCTGAAGCTAAAAATTGTGCAAAAAAAAAAAAAGAAGAGCAGCTGAGAGTAACCGGTAGAAAAAAAAGACTAAAGGGGAGGAATTACTGAATAGTCCTTTTCCCCTGTTCCTTCAGCAACTTCAGTACAATTGGAGGTGCTGAATGAAGTGAAGAGCTGCATCCTGGGGCTCCAAGCTCCAGCTGGAAAATAGAGAGCCGGGAAAGTAAGCTAAGATGGAAGTTAGTCCTGTGCCTGCACTGATGGGCCGGGCATGAAGGAAGTACCACTTCAGTGCGTACCCAGAATCTACCTCAAAGACAATCACAGGGAGAGGCGCATATGGTAGCAGTAAAAATGACCAGGTGCACATCAAGAGATAGTTATGTGATACCCAAAACTTGAGTGAAGTCAATCATACTCCAAATGCCATTTCATAATTGCCCTCATAGTTTCATGTGGGAGGGTTGGAAAGTAAGTGTCTTGCTGTCTAAAACTCTTCCCATTCTTTTTTGCACTCTTTCCCTTAAATATTTTTCTCATAGTTTTTGGGATCCTAATTTAAAGTAAAACGTTAGAAGAGTAAAACGTTAGTAAGACCTCATACATTGATGGGTGAGACTTTCCGGATGTTTTGCTTTTCAGGGGGAGAGTCCATGTAGAGCATGAGAACACAGAGGTCCCTGGGTGTTGTTAGGGGAGAGGGTGGGATAGACCAATGAGAAAGGAGCAACACAAGTGATCATAGGGCAGAAGATGACTAAAGACCTCTCACATCACATTGTGACCCAGAGTTGGCTTGGGATATCTCAACAGTTATCCCTTCTCATTATCCATCGCAAAATTCAAATTCAATCTGATTTTTTTCCACATGGTGGCCACTTTCCTAGGATTCTGGCAATGAAAAAAAATTATCTCTTGTTTTCTCCTTAAAGTACATTTTTGAGATCTCTTTAATTTTCCTAATAGAAAATGTATTTTTAATATTTTGGAAAAATCTATAGCAAGATTCTGTTCACACAGATATTTTAGCATGCCGGGGTTTTGACAGGAGCAGAATACCCACATTTAAATTTAAAATATC